TTAACAAGTATTAATATATATAAAATTATAATTCAACCAATTAAATATCCTAATTAAATTAATTAATTCTAATTCTTATCAAATTAAGTTTAAATAACAATAAATTAACAAGCTTTAATATAAATAAAGTTTTAATTCAACTAATTAAACATGATTAACCTAATTAATTAATTAATTAGATATCAAATTAACTTAATTAATTATAATTCTTAACAAATTAAATTTAAAATAAAAATAAATTAACAAGTTTTAATATAAATAAAGTTTTAATTCAGGAAATTAAACATAATAAACCTAATTAATTAATTAAATTTAAAATAACTACAAATTAAATTTTTTTAATAAAAATAAATTTTTAATTCAATCGATTAAAGAAAATTAACCTAATTAATTAACTAAACATAAATAAAATAACATTAATTAATTGAAAATCAATTTGGATTAAATTTAAATTACAATTAATCAACAAATTAACCTAACAATTAACAAAATTTAATAATTTAACAAATAAATTAACAAATTAACCTAAAAATTAACAAAAAAATCAATAAAATAACAATTAAATATATACATAATTATAAATCAAGCAATTAAACTTAAAATTACTAACTTTAATTAAAAAATAAAAGAGATAAAAAAAAACTTACTAAGTCGGGCGGAATTACTCTAAGAGGAGGGAAAAAAACGAGGGTTTTTAGGAGAAAAGACTTTAGAGTCTGGTGTGAATTGATTAAGCGTAAAGGAGTGGAGTTTGGTGGTGGTTTGGAAGGAGGAAGTTCGGTGACTCGCTGGTTGGAGAAGGAGAGGGAGAAGAAAATGGGGGAGGAGGAAAAAGAATGAGGTTTAATTAGGAATTGAAAAATAGCGATAGACGCGATCCCTTTGTTGATTCATCACTATTTAATGTTAGACACTTATGTATGTCGCTAACTCATCTCAAAATGGAAGACTAATTTCTTACGAGTTGGCCTCCCATTTTTTTTCACATATAGCAACGAAAATTTCCATTGCAAATTTAGCACTTTTCGCCTTTTAAAAAGTCCACTCAAATTTGCCCAATTTTCACCATTAGCAATGGATTTTTTGTCGCTAAATTGTGAGGGATTCGTCCTTTTACGATGGATATTCTGTTGCTAAATTTAGACATTAAAATTAGCAATGGATTTGCTATTCCATTGCTATTTTTCTTGACAAATTTGTCACTAAACCGTTTCTAAAATTTTTGAAAAAAATTTATCGTCAAATTTAGTGACATATTATTGTTTATCACTAATAAAACATTGTTGCTTCCACCAAATGTTATTTTATCGCTATTTGCTTGTTATTTAGCGACGGATAAACTCGTCGCTAATTTTCGTCGCTATTTGCCCCTTTTTTTTTTTAGTGATTGACAATCCATAAAAGTTTTTTTTTTTTTTTCCTACATTCCGAGCAGTCCAGTTACAAATTCCTAAAGAAAAAAACAAAACAAAACCAAAGAGACGAGCGAAGTAGGACAATGATTTCGAATTGATTCCTGAAGGATGGAATAAGCTTCAAGAATTGAAGGAGCAGGAGTTGACAGATTCATCAGAAGTTTAGCATTCCCTTCAATGACTACTGACTGATTAAAAGAATTGGCCAAAATAGCAGCTTCTTTAAACGCTAAAGCTTCCATCGAGTGAGTATCCAAAGCAAATTGATAATAAACACTTTTGGCTCCACAAACCATACCATAATGGTCTCTCGAGACAACACCTGAATTACTCGAGAAACTGAAATAGGAAAAGACACCATCAAAATTAATTTTGATAGATTCAGCTGATAGGAGTGACCAGCAAAGAATGTAGGCGTGATGTTCAGATTGTAGTGAGGGAATAAAGAGAGAAACTAACAAAATGCTATGTTCATACTCGGTTAATGATCCAAAACTTTAGATAGAATTTGAAATGGAGACCAATTGATGTTATTGAAGACGATATCTTTTTGTACCTTACATACGAAGCAAGTGAGCTATCCATATGTATATAATTAACAATTTTGCAGATGGATATGCTAATGAGCTAGTAAACACGTACAGGTACTAGCTATATGATAGGAATGAATGAATACAATCAATTTTTTTAAAATTTGGGATATACGAAATATTATAGTAGATACGTTACTAAATACTAAATACATATTCTTTATAAACATGGTATTTCTCGTGGGAGGAAATAAATCCAACATTTATCCATACATTTTTTCTTACCCCCGGTCAATATAAAAGAAAATGGAACCATTTAACATCAGCAATGTCCTATATGTGACGTGTCCTATTGCTTGTGTCGTTTTTTGATAAAACAAAAGAATAAAAAGCCTTAACTACTGCGCTTTCAAAGAGAGCAAGTCATACAAAAAGAGTTCGAGTACCTGATTAGGCTTTGAAATGAAATCCCTGTCGTTGGTTTTCTTTGTCACATCACACCATCAGAAACGAAAGTGGAGAGCATATTTTTGTTTATAAGAACATGAACGGCTTAGAAATAAGGATATGCAAGAGCAGTCATTTTCTGATTTGATTTTCTAATTGGTTAGCATAATTATTAAATATAAACGCACTTGGCATGACTTTTTGACAGCCAATGCCGAGTCCTAATTCTACATGATTTAGGTTTTTGTATTATGTATCTCACTTTTTAATCATGATCATCCTACATGGCACCAATATACAACAATCCTACATTAATGTAGGATTTGGATTCTTTCATGGTTTCTTCTTCTTTTTTAATATGACTGATTATGTTTCAAATCTGACTATTAATTTTGAATTTACTAACATGATTTAGGCGTAACAAATAAAACAATAATAAATTAAATTGCTACTATTTTTATCTTATACTAAATCATATCTATCTAATTTGAATTTAATGATTTTGATTTAAAGAATATGAAAGGATTTAGATCTCTTAATTTACTCTCATTTCTTTATGCTAAATCCATTATTAAATTTGTTATTCCCACCACTTGTTATTTTTAAATTACCAATACATTTTCTCATTAATGTCTGTTATTACGTTATAGTTAAATATATTTTATATTAAACATAAAAAGTGTCCATCAATATTTTTAAATTTCATTTTTTACATGCATATTTAATATTTTAACATTTTAGGTATTTGATATAAAACATATTTAACTAACAAACATTAACAAGAATGATGTATTAGTAATTTGCAAAAATAAGTGGTAGGAATAACAAATTTGATAGTAAATTTAACAGCATTCTTTTAATTATGTCCCAAATGACACACTAATTTTATTGTCTTTAGCGAATCAAAACTCTTTAAGAAATAAAGATTTTATTAAAATGAAGCTAAGATATGGTTTTTTTTTTTTTTTTTTTTAAGAAAGGAAATGAAAAGCATAGAAGGTTGATTGGTGACAAGAAAGAGAACTTCAAACATAGTCCCAGTCAGGGAGATAGCTAAAATGAGCTGTTCCAATTTCTAAGCACATGGGCAGGTATTGAATAATACAAATTCTTAGGAGTTAGGTTACTCCCATTAGTGTTGAGTCTGCCCGAATAAAAAACACATATGGAATGAAATAGTTTTATATACTGGGATAGGTCAACTGATTTAATTATCATTTACGAAAGGCATATACGAACAAGTTTCAAGATCATTTAATTTTGACATCCAATATTAGAAGGTGAGCTGGCTTGGTATTTGATAATAATTATATAAAAAAAAAGTTGCCTTGATATTTGCAAGCTCATTTGGTGATTGATCTGTGTAATTCTAGTACATCAATTGCAGGAATTTCTCATCCTTAAACTGAAGGAGAACATAAATTTTCTTACAATGGACAGAATAATTGCACTATGAACCAAATGTAGCAGTACAACTCCTTTTTCCCCTCAGTTTTAAAACATTGATTTTCGTATGGTGGACAGAATATTTGCACTGTAATGTTATTGATAAAGAACGAGCACGAGTTCCTCTCTGATCAGAGGTGAAAAAAGACGGATTAATATTGCACTAAATCCCCAACAAATTGAAGGCACCAAAGTTTGCTGTCTGATCTTGCCAAATCAGACAGACCCACCAAATAATGTGGGGCAAGATGCTGATATGGCTGCATCAGACGGTCATGGTCTGTGCTGAATAAAGAACTTACTCTATGAACTAGGCATCATGATTCATAACCAAAATAAATTCAATAGAAGTCAACTATGGCTCGCAATGCGGCCAAGAAGTGCTTCAAAATATACAACCTGTATGTGACACTTCTTGCCCTTCTTGGCCAAATAAAATCCATCAAACGGAACTGAAGCTTCCTGGTGGATTCATCTCCCACAGATGCAGCTGAGGTGTCCCAATCAAAAGGGAGAGTGCATGGAAGTGGAAAAGATCAAGTCTACAGAGGATTGATGTCCCCTCAGCTAACGATCGACTCTTCATTTCACTCGTATTAATTCCCTATTTACCAGTATCGCTCCCTGCACCAAATCTACCTCCCACCCTTCAAGAAACTTTTAGTACTATATATTTGGAGCTTTCTTCTCTTTCGAGTGCCAACACATTGAAACCCGAGAACAGTGTCAAGAGGTTTGGTTTGCTCTTATTTGTAGTGACCAACCCACCAAATTCTGTCCTGACAGCGAACTTTTCTCCATTGGCACTCTTTTGTCTTGCACACTTTGCTGCCCATCGTACATTATTTTACTTTGTTGTGTTTGTGAAGCCAGGTAGCATAGAGCAAGCCCACCTGGATTCATCCTTCTTTTTCTTTTTCTTTTTTCCTCCATTCCTTCTATACGTTGACCTGATTGATTATCTTCAAGTTATGTAACTCTCATCACCATTAATCAGTTTCTCAATGGCAAATTCATTCCTCTATGTAAAATCCCAACGTAGTCGCTAGAGGGTATTCTAGCTTCACCTTCTGAGCGTTCGAGTCATCTGTTACAAGCTTTCAAAGAAGGAAGAAATTAAGTGCAGTACTTTTCACCACTAGGCTTCTTGTTGGATAACATCATGGAGGAGACATTTGTGCCTTTGCGTGGAATCAAGAATGACCTTAGGGGAAGATTAATGTGTTACAAGCAAGACTGGACGGGTGGATTTAAAGCAGGCTTCAGGTAAAATCTCATCTCTTCGGTGATCATACAGAATTTTATATTGCGCATAGTTTCCAGTAATTTCCATTTTGCTGACATATACGTTCTTTGCATTTTGGACCTTGTTGGTGACATAAATACTTTTATGTTCTTTTCAGGATTTTGGCTCCCACCACATATATATTCTTTGCTTCAGCGATTCCGGTCATTTCATTTGGAGAACAATTGGAGAGAAACACCGGTATTGACATGAACTCAGCAAAGAACTATTTTTTTCCTTCTGTTGAATATTCTTTTGCTTAAAAAAATTGACGTTACCTTCCTCAACTCATGCACATCCTTTTTCTCATACTCCACGCTTTTATCATCCATTTTAATCATAAGGTGGAAAAAAGCAAAAGAAAAGACATGAATATGATCATGTGAAATTTTGGCACATCATGAAATCTACCTTGCACTTGCAGATGGGGTTCTAACAGCAGTTCAGACCCTAGCATCTACAGCTGTTTGTGGGATCATACACTCCATTATTGGAGGTCAACCTTTGCTGATATTGGGAGTTGCAGAGCCAACTGTCATTATGTATGCATTTATGTTTAACTTTGCTAAAGACAGAGCTGATTTGGGAAGGAATTTATTTCTAGCATGGACAGGATGGTGAGCTGATTAACAAATCCGCAAACCCCCCCCCCCTCCTCCTCTCTTTTGTCTTAGATGATCTCCTTTTATGTTTCCTCCCTCTTTTCGACATAACTTACCTGGTTATATGATCTTGCAGGGTATGTGTATGGACTGCACTCTTGCTTTTCTTACTGGCTGTCTTAGGAGCATGCTCCATTATCAATAGGTTCACTCGTATAGCAGGAGAGTTGTTTGGTCTGCTTATTGCAATGCTCTTCATGCAACAGGCTATCAAAGTAAGAGTAGTTAAAGACATCGCCTGAATTATGATGCCTTCCTGTGATTAATTCTTAGTTGCCGTGATTATTGTTTAATTACTAGTTAAACTAATTAATTGACTTGACTTTTTAAGGGACTTGTGGACGAATTTCGAATTCCACAACGAGAAGATCCAAAATCAATGGAGTTCATACCTTCATGGAGGTTTTCAAATGGAATGTTTGCTTTAGTTCTATCATTTGGCCTCCTCTTCACTGCATTAAGAAGCCGCAAGGCGAGATCATGGCGCTATGGATGTGGTATGTAGATCCAAATTCAGGTTTCTTATTGAAAAATACCAGGGACTTTTACTAATTATGATCAGTCGGCAATCTTGATCACTTTATAGATTACTATATTCTTTTGTTTTGGAAACTTAAATTTATTTTCCTGACAGGTTGGCTTAGAAGTTTAATAGCAGACTACGGTGTACCTCTCATGGTTCTAGTATGGACAGCTGCTTCGTATATTCCAACAGGAAATGTTCCCAAAGGGATCCCCCGGCGTCTTTTCAGCCCAAATCCATGGTCTCCTGGTGCATATGAGAATTGGACTGTAATTAAGGCAAGTTCTGACACATCTTATAGTTATCCGGAAAACACAGAATTTTATCTCCTCATATTTGACTAAAATGATTATTTTAAACCCCATATGACAGGAAATGTTAGATGTTCCCATTTTCTACATAATTGGAGCATTCATTCCTGCTACGATGATTGCGGTACTATACTATTTTGACCATAGTGTAGCATCTCAACTTGCTCAGCAGAAGGAGTTCAATTTGAGAAAGCCATCTTCTTACCATTATGACTTGCTTCTATTGGGGTTTCTGGTATGCAGATTTTTTCTTCCCTTCTCACTCGAATTGTCCCTTCCAATTTTATTTCTTCTGAAACATTCATAATTTTTACTTTCATGATGTCAGACCTTGATGTGTGGTCTTCTTGGAATTCCACCATCAAATGGAGTCATCCCCCAATCTCCAATGCATACAAAGAGTTTGGCCACTCTCAAGTACCAGGTAACCTATTCTGAATCTCTCTAAAACGAAATCTATATTTAGAAAGATACTTTATAATACTGCTACCGGTGTTGAAGAAACAAATTTCGTTGGTCAAATTAGCATTATTTACAGTTTTTTTCCTCGGACTTTGTGCAAATAAATCTTTCTAAGATAATTGATTACCATTCAGCTGCTTCGAAATAGACTTGTTGCAACAGCACGTACAAGTCTGAGAAAGAATGCCAGCTTAGGACAATTGTATGGAAATATGCAAGAAGCCTATCAACAAATGCAGACTCCTTTGATCTACCAACAGTCCTCTCAAGTATGTTTGCAAATTATGCTGCTGTTGACCATATTGCTTTCTCTTGAAAGAAACATGATCATAATCATGAAATTCCTAGATGAAATCAAATTATCTTGTTTTGGAGAAAGTAATTGAGAATTTTTAAATAACTTCAGCAGGGTTTAAAGGAATTCAAAGAGTCAACCATCCAAGCAGCTACATGTAATGGCCATATCGATGCCCCAGTCGATGAGACAGTATTTGACATCGAGAAGGAAATTGATGATCTGTTGCCGGTTGAGGTTAAAGAACAACGTGTTAGTAACTTACTTCAAGCCACAATGGTTGGAGGTTGCGTTGCAGCCATGCCTTTCCTCAAAATGATCCCAACCTCAGTGCTTTGGGGCTACTTTGCCTTCATGGCCATCGAAAGTTTGCCTGGTAACCAATTTTGGGAAAGAATATTATTGCTCTTCACTGCACCAAGCAGAAGATTCAAGTAACAATTTCAAATCCTGTATCTCTTACATTTCCACTTCATCTTGGATGCTTGCTTCTTATTCGTTGTCTAAAATAACTCTTTCTCACAGAGTTCTTGAAGATTACCATGCTACATTTGTAGAAACAGTTCCTTTCAAGACAATTGCCATGTTCACAATTTTCCAGACAGCTTATTTGCTGATATGTTTCGGTCTCACTTGGGTTCCAATTGCTGGTGTTATGTTTCCTTTGATGATCATGCTTTTGGTTCCAGTAAGACAATACTGCCTTCCCAAGTTTTTTAAAGGAGCACACCTTCAAGACTTAGATGCATCTGAGTATGAAGAAGCACCAGCTTTGGCATTCAATCTCGCAACAGTAAGATTCCTTGTCCAACATAACTAAAAGGAAAATCCATCCTATATTATTCTAAAAGAAATCCATCTTACATTCACTATCACTTCACATTTACATTTCTTCACCATGTTTATAGGAGGCAGAGCTGGGGGCAGGAGCTGCTTATGGAGGAGATGGAGAGATTTTGGATGAGGTTATTACCCGAAGCCGTGGAGAATTTAGGCACACAAGTAGTCCTAAAATCACAAGCTCCACTGGAACACCAGCAAATAATCCTAAAAGCCATCAAAGCCCACGTCTCTCATACACATATAGTCCTCGTGTAAGTGAACTAAGAGGAGAGAAAAGTCCTAAATTCGGCGGAAGAGGGCTTGGCAGTCCAAAGACTGGAGATCAAAGGCTATCTAAACTGGGGAAGAGTCCTTCAAGTTCAGAACAAAATTAGTGCCAAATTTTTTGGCGTATCTATCAGTAAGTAAGGAGCTTTAGGTTGGCTCGTGCTTGCCCCATTTCCCTTTCATGTGTGCTGTTTTGGTTGGAATTGATGTAAAATATTTCTTCCTTCTGATCTTCTCCTCGCGAGAGAAAAAATTTGCAACTTATAATGGATTAGTTGCTTTTGTAGTAACAAGTGTGCTTTTGTATATTGGCTCCCGCTATAGTGATTCAATGCATTGCTTTATGATGGAATTTTGTTGTTCGTAATTAGAATTCCAAACACAAATAGTCAATTTATAATTCAATAAACCCTTATTTATCTTGCTTCGGCTGCAAGGACTCCATCTTGATATATAACATATTACTTCTACCAATATTACTGATGCCTCAAGCTCTTATAATTGATATATGATACATTCCAGGGGTTATTTTTCGGTACAATGGAGAGCATACTGTCCGAACCTAAAACTACTATCAAGATCTCTGGCTGTCTTACCGCCTGAGCTAATTTCAGATCATGTCATTTGGGTTAAACATTTGCAGTTGTCACTTAGGTTGAAACACGTGTTGTGTTGTTCGAACTCGGAAATCCATATCTGTCACGGATGCGTGCCCGACGTACATATCCATGTCAAACTCAAACATATTTACAAATTATTTTCCATTTTTCATGGATTAAAAGTGTCCAAGTATCACACCCATTTACAAATATCAAATGTCAGACATGGATGCTCTAGGCAAAGTGAAGAACAGAAGAACCGAAAGTTGAAACTTATATGATTTGTTCCATACCGCAAACATCAACTCTCCTTCATGCATTCCTAAGCAATTATTACAGGCAAGGCATGCCAACAAATGGAACCGTTACAAATTTGTCAATAAGAATGATTCACCTAATCTTAAAACCAATTTTGTGTAGCAAGCTACGAATGCCGTTGTTCAATTACTATCGTAATTAGAACTGAAAAATAAAATTCGAGACTTCTGTGTTTAATTGTTGAAAGACTCTGATTCTCTTTTAAAGAAATTATGAAACAGGGTATTTGTTCACAACTAGATCATGATTTTGGAGGGACCTCTAGTTGGACACATAAAATTGCTAGTCGCCCAAGAATCTGGCTATTCATACGTTTGTTTCGGATTGCTGGAGAGAGTGAGGTCGGTTCTGTGATTATACTTGTAATAATCGAAAATAAGGGTCAACGCTTCAATAGAAATGAATCATGTAGAAGACTGTTTTGGAACGCAAACTTGATATGAAAAAAGAAACTTTTAGAATAGCTGTGATAGGAAAGATGAGGTCAGAATTTTTCCCATCAAGCAGAACTAGAACAGATAGCTGGTTAGCCATAACGTTTATGGTCCTACACTCTAAATTGGAAAGGACATGAGAGAGTGAAGGCTTTGAATGTTTTTCATAGCATAGATTTTGGTGGGCTTTTGTTCTTCACGTCTGCCATTAGGAAATATGGGCAGCTCAAGTCCCTTTCTAATGATTTCAGTATCTCTGTCAGTGCACAATTCAGAGAAACATTCCAAAATAATAGCTTGGTTATATTCGTCTATCTTCAACTTTTAATTCATTGCAAAAAGAAAGTTTCTTAGCATCGGTTTCTATTGGCCAAAGGAGTTGACCATCGCCAAGTTTGATTTGGTTGTTGAGTTGGAAGGAAACCATATTATGAAAAGTTGCTAGCATGCGTTACATCTGAACGCTTGAGTAAATCATGCGTATTAGCTGTGAAAAATATGTGGTGTACATTTATTGTCATTCTCCAGAGTTCTCCCTTTTCTCTAATGGCTTGTAACAAATGACACGTTCATCTTTTTTTCTGATTAGTACAGAAACTTTAGTTGATCTTTTCCAACATGAATCACAATCACACAATTAAGCGAGAGCTAAGTTAAAACAATTAATTAGTTGGATTAAAGAAAGAAAAAAAAATGAAAATAAGATATAGTTTAATTGAATTGGAAATGGTCCCCGACATGAAAATCAAGAACACTAGTGATCACCAGTGAAAACAGACATACATGCGTACTAAGATTCATACCTATACCTCTATATAGAGAGAGAGAGAGAGAGATGTTGACAGTGATTGATGATGAATAATAATAATTCTAAAATACTTTGTAATTTTACAACAGATTGTTGCGACTGCAGTAGGCTTTTATATATTAGAGAAGCATCAAAATGATAATAGCATCTGTTTAGCTATATTGTAAAAGTACACGGAAAATAGCATAAGAACTTCCAGTACTGCAGTTCTTGCAATTGAAGTTACAAACAGAAGAACAGTGATATTAATAGTAATAATGTTGTACAAGCGAACAAAATGATCAAGTATATGAAAGTACATAACTAAGTCTTCTAGCGTGGTTGAATAATTGGTACTTATTATCTCGATTAAAAAAAAAAAATTTTTTAAAAAGCCCATCAAAGTGAGAGGTTGAGATCTAAATCTTGATCTTGCCTTTTCTGATCTGTTTTGGGTTGTCGTTGATCTTCAATATTCTTAGAAGAAGTAGGTGGGAGCATTACAAGATCGCCTCTGAATTGCTCATGATCTTCCTCAGCAAAATCTTCCCAAGTGAAAGATGGGGTCCAGGCTGGTTTCATTTCTTTTTCTGCTCCTTCTTTTTCTTTCCCTTTCTCTTTAGAACCAGTCGACATTTGATTATGGGCATCTCGTATGTTTCTAACCAAAGCGTAAAAAGTATTGATCTTCTCTTCTTCATCCATCATCTTATCTCCCTCTCTTCTTTCCCCTTGCATACTGTACTTTCTCTTCATTAATACGGTGCTTTGTGTTGTCAATTACACTAAATAATTCAAAACGTATTCAGAGAAGCGAGTCGGACACCTTTCTAAGAATCACCAAAACTCTTGACATGACCAAATTAGCCCTTCAAAAGCATATCACACAACAACCTCAAGATTGGAAGTACGTGGTGGTTTTGGTAAGAAAATTAAAAAAATATATATATACAGAAAGAAAGACAGAAAAAGGGTGATTGCTCATTACTGATCACAGCATCTTATGACGACTTGAGGGAACGGTTGCAGCGGCCGTGGGGTATGTGCAAACATACTATTAACACGTAATCCACGTCAATTTAGCAGCGGGGCTAGCGTGGATCCTGTGCAAGGTGATGCCTTATGTCATCACCATTCACCGATGCAAATGGAAGGCTTGGCACGAGACACCAGTTACCCATTGACACCCCAACCTAGCAATGACGTGGCACTTCGTGATTGGGGTAAGGTGGAATGGGAGAGAGAGAGAGAGAGGTAAACATGGGCCTTCATTGATTTGGCAAGAAAAGGTTATAGAGACAAATGAGATCTGTAGCTGTCCATAGGAAGGTCTGATTCCTCTTGGCTTTATTGATATACCTTTATTGCCTTTCCCTTTCTAAACGCTCCCCTATAAAGTACTATTACCAAAAATGGTATAACAATTGCTACCCCATTTCATAAAGAAGGAAAAAGCTAAGATTAAAATATGCAAAGCTAGTCCCCGTAGATGACATAAGCTAGATTCTTCTTGTCTTCTACCTTTTCGCTGAATATTTGCTTGGGCCAGCCGACCTAAGCCCCAAAATAATGGGCCTAGGAATTAAAACATAAAAGAGATTGGACAAAACTTTCTTTCTTCCTTTATTTTTTTGTTATACAGATAATTAGTTTGTTATTATCATGGCCATGGTTGTCTTCATGGATAAAGATTGCCTTCCATATATTGAGGTAAACGAGGCAAACAGCCTTGCATCCACACGTGTGGTCAAAACTTAAGAGGTAGGGAGAGCCCATCAATAAGGCCTCATGTAAGGGTGGAATTAACATAAAATGTGGGCTGTTAGAAGCCTTTAAATTTTATGATGAATAACAGATATGTAATCATATAATATAGAGCCCAAAGACATAAACCATTGATACAAAGGTCTAGAATAGTGGAGGATCAGTTACCCGCTGTTCAAAATACAGATGAAAAAAAAAATCAAAGCTTGATTGATTGTGCTTGCGATTAATTAGCTGAATAGAGTCAGTAAGCCCATATGGGACAATGAAACAAAAGTCACGACTATTGCAAAGCTGACTCTGGCCCAGCAAATTCCGACTATTGCAAAGCTGACTCCGGCCCAGTATTTCTTACCGTCCATTCTCCTAATTTGGTCAACTCTACTATTCCTTGGTCATCGATGCATCTTCAATATTCAATGCGTCACATGGAAAGGAATTGAGTTTCTTTTTGGTTTCTAAAAGAATCGAAATGAGATTCAAATAATACAACTAAGTCATGGTTTACTGGATGGGACGTCTGCAAGGTGTTTGAAACAACAAATTTTATTGTGTCATGTAATTCAATTGTTGAAAATAAATTAAATTTGACCAAAATCATAATAAATTAAAATCATGAAAGAAAAATTTCGATTTTACGAGATCTAAACAACCTTGCAGCAGATCTCAAACGAACAGCAGCTTATCGTGCACACCCAAATATCAAAATCTACACTAGTACTAAGTATAATTAACGACAAGAAAATACAGAAAGCGTGAATATAGGGTAAAGGGTCCCTACTCAATTCCTGTCCACAAAAGGAACCACTCTTTCTGATTTCTTAAGCATCAAACCATAATTTCACCGAACACGTTCAATGCTTGTATGGTGCGAGCTTTTTGACACAAAGGTTTCAACTTTCTCATATTCCTTTCCATTATTATTATGGTCATCAACCCCCGTTACAAGTCAATTAAAATAAAACGCGTACCAATTTCCTGAAGAAAATTAGCAAATATGCTTTGTCATTTGTCTAGCTAAAATTAATGTTGATGTCATATTATGCATCGATTTTCAAACCTATTAGAGGGGAATAATACCCCCTTTCAACCCATGATATACTTCTAAAAAAAAAATCCAAAGGAAAAGAACATAAAAATTAGATTTCTCGAAAGAAAAAAGAAAATGTTAGAAGCAATGCATTAATTAATTGATTTGATTAAACAACGTACGACATTAAAGAGTGAGTCCCAGATCTAAACCATCATCTTCTTTTGGTTTTTTGTCTTCTAATTTCTTCTCGTTATTACAGGGACCGGGGAAGATGAGAGGAGGATTTCTAAACTGAATGTCCTTTGTGAAATCTTCCCATTCAAAAGATGGCACCCAACTCGACTGCTGTTCTTGATCATTTGGCCCTCTAGCCTTCTTCTTCTGTTGCTTCTCTTCCATTTCATCTTTCCTTCTATTACGAGCATCTTGAAAACTTCTGATCAACGCGAAAAACTGCTCCATCTTCTGGTCTTCTTGCTCATCTAGTTCACCAATATTGTCAACACTTCCCTTAACTTTCTCATTCTCCATGTCAGATAACAGTACACCAGCACCAGAAAAACGAAGCTAATTAATAAGAAAAATGGGCTCCAAAAATTCCAAAATATCTTTTTCTGTACCGCCGCTAGAAACAAAAGAATATGCAAGCTTTTCTTGGTGGTTATGGCGTTAGTGTCGGTTTTTTGTCTTGAAATTTCTCCAAAGTTGGGCAATTTGTAGGGGAACACGGAACACCTGGTTGAAGATTGAAAACACAAAAATACCCCAGCCAGCTAAGGTGGGGGAATTGGTTCGAGCATCTAGAATATCAAGACTATATGGACATAAAAGTAAATAAGATACAAAATACTGACGATATAAAGCGGTGCGTCAGCAAGAAACGTAGGCGTGAATGGACACTTTACCAGCTGTTGGGTTGATTTGCTGAGGTAATGAGCCTGACATCATGCATTAAGGGGTGGCTTGTTTTTCTTTCTTGCTTAGCCCTATGTCCCTATGTGCTGAGGAATATCATTGACTTGGACCAACCCCTTTAGACTTTGTTTCTAAGGAACACACGAAATGTAAGGACCACTAATTTCAACTTAATAAATGGCGTGATAATGTTAATGGGAATGCATAGTTTTTCTTCTTTTGAATTTGAAGGAAATTCATGATAATGGTATTTTTTTTGGGTGGAATGAAACAGAATTATTAGTTCAAAAAGAAAAAAAATCAGCAGTATTGTAACAGGCTGGCTTTGTAAGAAAGCTAGGACGTAATAATTTAGATTTCATTTCTTTTTCTTTTTCTTTTTTTTGTCAAAAAAAACAAAAAGAAAGAAACAGATTTGAGATGCTACGATCAGCTAAGGTTTATACGGCAGGGTAGTAAATAGTGATCTTCTTGACTCTGTACTGGCTCGAGGTTCGAGCTCCAAACTTGAACTCATTCATTAAGGGGCAAAAAAAAAAAAAAAAAGGGGTAACAAGGATGCGATGATGCGACAATTGGGAGATTTTTTCTTTGAGTTGGTACCCGTCAAAAAAATTTAGGAAAGAAGGTGAAAGAAATCATGATTAGCCCCTAACTGGTGGTTAGGCATGGATTAGTCCCTAAGTGGTTGTTAGGCATGGGTCACAGGAGAAATCTTGGATGCCAAGAACTCACGTTGGAAAGTAGCAGCAGGTAAGGCTGCAATTAATTGATTCAACGATTCCTCGCTACAAATGACAGACTCTGCCATTAAAGCGTTATGACTTGAGGTATTTGATATACTAGAAACTGCTTATATTTTCAAAATATAAAATATAAAATAGTTGTTGCTGTTTGTCGAATTTGATCATAAATATAGAGTAAATTGATATTTCAATTTATAATCAAGTAGGAAATAATAAAAAGTTTGATGCTGTCTAATAAGTCATTAGGACTTTTATTTAGTATTTCGATTTGAATAATAAGATTAAAAATAAAAAGAAAATATTGTAATAAAATGAGATATAAATATTATAAATTAAAAAATACAACACTTGCATCAATAGTTTTGGATAATATCATTTGATAATACTTGAAATGAAAAAATCTTAAGTTACCGAAAAGCAAGATAAATGCTATCGATCTACTTTACAGGAAGATAAAGGTTATTTTAAATGATAAAAGTAATTTTCAGAGAAATGTTGTTGTTCATTTTTTCTTTTTGTCTTCTTTCCTTTCTTTTAAACTGTGGTCAATTGATAACGATCTGGAATCTCAAATTTAAGCGTGAACGGTTATCAAGTTTTATCTTTTTTTTGTTTGTCGACATCGGTTGGTTTGTGAAACCAAACGCACAATTTCATTTAATATTCTCAAATCTCTATTTCTTTGATATTAGTTGGTTTGTGAACTCAACTGCACCGTTTCATTTAAGGTTCTCAAATCTATGTCCATAAATATTGGTTGGTTTATGAAACCAAACGCATCGTTTCATTAAGATTTTGAGAATGCATCGTTCGATTAAGGTGTAGCTTTTTAATATGTAATGTCGATTTCAATCGACACGTGGCTTAAATTTATGTATGCCAACACAAGTATGATACAAATTGACACTTGTATTTTATTTTATTATTAATCTGAAAAATTTCATTTCATAACCTCACAATCAAGATATCTCACGTTGGATCTCTGTGTATGGTGACGTTGTTAATATCAATGTTGATGTTTTCACTAAAAACAATATTATTGAATTTGGAGTAATTACAAAAAAAAAAAAAAAAAATCTCAAAGAGATATGCTCTCAGCCCATAAAGGACAAAAAGTCAATTCTATATCGATATAGTGAAATTTTTGCTGTATTTTATGGACTTTCTTGCCATGGATAATTGAATTTTCATCTCTTTTTAAAATTAGCTAAATTACTCTAATCTTATCTCTCAACTCCAATCAGATATTAAAGGTGGTAATTATTTATTCTCTATTGCCATTAACATTAAATATCTAATTAATCAAATTCATTTATATACTTTCACCGTGATAGTTGTACACATAATAAAATTGTTTATGAATTAACTTATTTTTAAAAAAATTTAATTCTTCTAAAGAAATTTTTATTGAGAACCACCTAGATACCTATGAAAAATTATCCAAAACTTTATTGAGAACTACCCAGATATCTATGAAAAATTATCCAAGCTAATGTATCTGGTTGGTTGATCTCTTAATGAAGTTGAAATTAAAAAAAAAAAAAAGTGATGCAGTATTTCCTGTGCCAGCCGGCCCAATTATCTACTGTCTACGAAGATGATTAAATATCCTTCGTTGCAACTTGCATTTGTGCATGTCTGTCTGTCAAGTTATGATCTTTTTTTTTGTATGTAAACTTCAAACCAATTGCAATGGACTACTTTTCAGTTTTCACTGGGTTAGTAGTCTTCAATATCTCCCACTTCAGCAGCTCTTCTCTTTTTCTTCTCCCGGGCTGGATTCCAACCCACTAACCCAGGATCCCAGTGTCGCTTTTTTAAGAAAGGCCTAGAGACCAACCCAGGGCCAATATATATAATAAAGTCTAAAAATACAAATCCACACATAAATTTATATATTAAGATAAAAAAATAATAAAAATATTGGATTATATATGGGTCACACTAGCTCCTCACTTGCTATCACATCCAACTCCGATAAAACCGAATCGAAATTTACCGAAATTACAATGTAGCTCAAATAAAATAATCATCTCTAAATGTTGCGCAGAGTTTTCAAAATTGAAACTTTTGTTCTTTAGAAAGCTGGTACACTTTTATATATATATATATATATATATATATATATATTTTTTTTTTTTTTTTTTTTTTTTTTGACAACGTACTTTAGTTATAACTCACTTTGGTGTCGAGGGCTTTAAAGACTATTATAAGAAAAAGCATCAATAGCCTTGTTATGAATTAATTAAAAACAGCAGGCTTGTGATTAACTCTTGGATCAGGAGCAATAAGAGACAGTAATTTAATCTGGATACTGTTAAATTTTTTTATGAATAGTTATTATTTGAAGTTAGATATGGATACTGTTAAATTCATATCTGAACCAAAGTTATTATATATATAAACATAAATATTCTAATACTATTTATTATTTAATATAAAATAAAAAGATAATAGATATTCAAAATTTAATAACTTAAATATGAATATCAAAATTTGTTATTCGATAAATAATGGATAGAAAATTAATATCCAAAACTCGATCTATAAATATGCATTGCCATCCCTACTAGCATTCAACCATAGAAGAATTATGTTCATATCATGTTTCTGTTTTCACCTCCAAGCCGGCCCCTTTTTACTTGCAAAAATTCAGGCACTACTTATGGAAATCAGTTGAACAGCCAAAATGTTCAAGAGCGCAAACTATAAATAGTACAACACTCAAAGAATTTATATAAATAAATAAATTTATTAACAAGCTTAGTACTTGTGTTTATCCATGGAACTTGATTCTTTTTTGGAAGTTCCCATTGAACCAAAGACAAGAGACACAGCACATTCAATGATGAATCAATAGATGCATCTAGCTAAAACTCTTCTGATAATACCACTATTATTATATGTAACAATAGCATTAGTTCTCCTCAATTCTTAATTCCTTAGTTTTAGATTTGGATTCTCTCATATTTAAAGGAAATAAGACTTATCAACTTGCAAATTCAACCATTACTTTTGAATTCCACAAGCTAGATCAGGTTAGGGAAAAAAAAAAGTGGTTAAGCTATTTTCATTTTTAACATAAACTAAACTCATACCATTAAGTGTGATTTTGATGAATTCAATGTAACATGATCCAACATGACAGAAAAGAACATAATAAGATCTAAATTCATTTTTACAATCCATCTTGTTCCTGAAATTAATAAACAGTCACTACTGGCGTAATACATTCTACAATTAATAAGTTAAATTACAATAAGAAAGTACTGCTATGCAAGAAGGAAGGAGCATGGTGATGTTCCTTTTTCTCACCTTCTCTGATATGTATGTAGCCAACCACTTTAATAGCAAAGGAGTTGGATTTCTCAGGACCTTCCAAACTGTTACTAAAATCAGCACTAAAGTGAAAGGTTCAGGTCTAAGCTCTCTTTATGCTCATCTTTCTCAGGTATAACTTCCTTTCCTTGAGAAGAATCCGCAAAGGTGGACACAACTGCAGCTGGGGGGTCCCTTAACTTCTCAGTCTCTTCCATGAAGTCTTCACGTTGAAACGAGGGCTTCCAAACAGTAACCTGCTTTTGCTCTCCCTCAAGTTTTCTCTTCCTGTTCGTGGTATCTTTCTCCAGCTTCAATGCGGGATCTGAACCATTCATCATTCGATCACGAGCCTCGCGAATGCTCTTGATGAGAGCAAAGAATTTCTCCATCTTTTCTTCTTCATTTTCTTCGTCAAGATCGTCATGGCAAAGTTTTCTCTTCTTGCTAGCACCATCCATGGATGTTGCTGGTTGTTGGATGCAGGAGCTAGGCAGGGAGCAGCACCTCACAAGTGACAAGCAGAGTATGAATTGCACCTTCTAGGTTGCTTCTCCGATGCTTCTCGGTGACCCTTGTTTATACATAAGGTCAGGATCAAGCATGTACTGTGATGTTCACTTTTGATGGATTGATTTTTTGTCGGACCTAAACGCCCCTGGTTTTCTATGCCAGTGCCAATATGCTGCCTGTACTCTAAAATGCCCTCTGCTCGCTTTTTGTCAAAATTAATAAATGTGACAGAATTGTCTTCAATATTGCCTAAGTCAAAGTTAATATCATTTTCTTAATAATTCAAAAAAGAAAAAATAGGAGCTTCAATTATAGCATGTTTGATTCCGCTCTATAAAAATAACATATAAAAAAGCTAACGGAACTAATTTTTATAAGGTAGTTTTTTAGTTACCAATCAACATCTTTTACTGGTAGTGACAACCTTTTTTTTTATTTTTTATGGTTTCATATTTATTTTAGTTTATTTATAGATTCAAATATATATATATATATATATATATATTTACTCACAGACCCAAAACTATATGTACAAGTCTTTTATCATTTGTTTATTAAACCCATTGGTTTTTTTAAAAATAAATATTCGATGATTTTTTTTAACTTTTTGGAATATATATATATATATATATGGTTTTGAAACTTCAATAAATAAAGCAACCATTCCTTGTTAATTAATTTAAGATGGCAAAGTGATGCATGTTTGTGCTATGCAATCATTTCACAGAGTTTTGTTTGTTATACGTATCAGTGAATAATTTCATTCAGTGGTAATTTAATCGTTAATTTCTATAGTTATCCTATTTGTAGGCCAAAAAGATATATATAATCTTGTATGAACCAGAAAAACCTTCAAGAATTATAGATCAGTAGATTAATAAATTTTGTAATCTAATACAATTTAATTATGAAATAAATTATTATTATTATTATTATTATTTACATCAAATAAATTGTGTAATTAAACAGAAAACTGCTAGCTTCTTGTGCTAGGGCTCCTAGACGGTTGCTTTCCAATTGGCATGGAAAAAGTCAAAAAACTAAGCGCGCTCTTTGTCTTCTTTTTTTAAAAACCATTTTTAGGACTGCAAAGTCCAAACATGAAACATGTGTTGTCTTTGAGTAAATTTATATGACATACGCGAGAGTGACGTGCATTATGCTCCATCTGCGCGCGTCATTGCAAATGCAAAGTGACGCAAAATCGCTTCTTCACACATTTCCATATCCTTTTCTTTTTCTTTTTTTTTTTTTTTTGGTTTCTTATTGACTTTATAAATCCTTAATTAATCTCTCTCTCTTTTTTTCTTTTTTTCTTTTTTTTGAAAAAAAGCAAGAAAAGAAACCTGCAGGATCCAGAATCAAGCATGGTTCGTACTAGGCCTGGTTCGACCATTTAAAGTGTGAAAAAAAAACTTACCCATCAGTTTTGGCGGATGATGATTGGTCTAACTGGTGGATGATTATAAAGCATAAATTCCCCGTCGTTGGATAACACATGTAATCAAGTGCAAGTACTTTTGCAGAACATGAATCACGACAATATATATATGGTCCACCTCAATTCTTTACGAATTCATTATATTTTTTAGGTTTAACTCTATAAGGAATTGGTTTTATATATATATATATATTACTTTTTTTATGTATTCAAACTCTTAGGTAGTATTCAACTAACTTCAAATAAATTTATTAAATTTTGTTGATACATCAAATTGTTGTATATTTAAAAAAATTTAAAATATAATTTATTTTTGATTACTGCATAAATCTATTTTAAAATACAATTATAATTCAATAATAATAAATAAATAAAAACTGAACCAATATTTGGCAAAATCAGATTAGTATCTAGCATACCAAATATTCTCGAAGGGGATTTTTCTTCTTTTTTTTTCCTGACTTTTGAAGCACTCGTGATGATGATGGAAGCCGGAGACTTAAGAAAGACTTCTTTAAATGTACCAAACAATTGTAAACACGTAGTATAAATAATGATATAATAAACATTAATCACGTTCGATTAGTTTTGTTATAAAAAATGACTAGCACTGTACACGGAGGCCGACATAAGGTGTTGGTGGGCTACTACATCAGAATGAATCCAAGGCACCAAAATTAACGGAAGAACGCCGGAGAACTTTTTAAGAACGCACTTTTGATAACAAGTACCTAATAATAATATATGTCACTCATGACGACTTTGAGTTCCCGGGGAAGTTAAAAAAAAAAAAAAGCCACGAGAAGAAAAGGAAGGGAAGGTGGTGAGAGGCTAGGAGCCCACATTGAGGTGATTGGTGGGGCTTAATTTGCTGGAACATTGTTCACAATGGAACAATGCAATTGAATCGAATTGAATGGATTGCTTTTCTTTCGGCTGCCTACAAGGTTTTATCGTCGAATGAATGGATGAACTCTACTTGTTATTTCTCAAAAATCAATAAACAATTTATTGAATATTTGTTTTTTTATATCATGAACTATATATTCCTCTTTGCATTGATTTTATTTAAAGGAGATAAGGAATAAACTAACTATATCCATGACCCACCGGCCCACCAGTGAGCCTAGGAAAACTCTTTGACTCGGAACTTGCTTAAAAATCATCGGCTACCGCCCGAGGTGGTAGCTATTCCGCTTCGCAGAGATGTAAATTAAAAGGCAAACCATGCCAAGGAAAATACCAACACTCCAATAGTTTGTGTTCGATTGGGTTAAGATCTCAATGGGTCCGGTATGACTCATCAATGCTTTTATTTTGATTCTTAATTTTTCAATACGTTCGTTTTTTTTTTTTTTTTTGGTCACGCAGTTTTAATTTCTTTTTCTCGTATTGACATGATTTCTTTTTAATATCGCATGAGGTATTTAAGTTTGCCTTTTTCATGCAAATTTTTTTATTCCATAATAAGAAAAAGGTAAGGTATCCCTACATTAATCCACTAAAATTGATTTGAACATAATAAACTTTAATCGTTTAAACAAATGATTTTAAATTAATAAAAAGATGCCTTATCTTTTCTAAGTTATCACTTTTGAGTCAAATCAAAACAAGTAAATTATAATAGACTCTTTTTAAGTATTGCAAAAAATTCAAAAGCTTAAAAATCTAACTAAAATTCTCTTCCTATTTTTTTAAAAATATTATAAATATTTTATTTTATATTTAAAATTTACTTACTAATATAGAGATAAATTTAAACTCATGAAAGATATTTTAGATACAAAAATATTTTTAGCTTCATTTAAAAAAAAATGATCGAATATATCTTCACTTTTTTCTATTTTTTATTTTATTAAATTTATTTATTTAAATTTGATTAAAAAAAAAGATTAAGGGGAAAAAAATAAAGAAATGAGATTAAGAAGAAAAAAAATCAAGTTGACATGTGTTGTAAGTTAACAAGATAGATGAGATTAAGACAAAAATTAAATGTAAAGGAATGAAATTAAATGAAAAAAAGTAGAAAAACATGATAAAGATGAAAGAGAAAAAAAAATAAAGGAACTACTGCAACTATTAACCCCTATGTAAACTAAGGGTATTACTAAATTTACCAGTATTTTTTGGGTTCTCGCTATCTACTTTTTTTAAAATAACTAATATATTTTTTTCGTTAATATCCATATGTTATATTCAAGCTTTAAATATTTTTTGTTAATGATCACATAATATATTACAATAATTATTAAAAATAGTGCAAATAACACTTTCTGTTGTGAATTTAGCACAATTCGTAAAAAAAATCCTGGTGATATACCAGAAATAACACAAGATAGGCTATGATGATCTTACAAATTTACTGTCAGATTGTGATAAAATAAAATACAAATCAAATATTTGAATGAAAATAAAAAGTTTGTAAACTATTTGTATGGTAATATTTTTAAGTTTTCATATTAAATTATGCAATTATATAAAAAATATTAATTTAGAACATTAAATCATTTTTAACAAATATGCTAAAGAGACCCATAAATCATTGCTATTAATACTTAACTTCTGCACTGGTGTAAATACGAGATAGATTGCCGTTACTGGGCTAGAATATTCCTTCCCACTCTCCCTCTCCCTCTCTCTCTCTCCCTCTACTTTTTTTTTTTTTTTTTGCTTTTTAAATCTTGGGTTAACTCTTTAGTCAGCTTTCCATGCCGACCCATATGAGTTAAATATTCCTGCCCCATTATCTTCCATACCATCGAGAGCTTCAGTGACCTTTACTTTAGAAGCTGCAGACAAGAGCAATACTCTTGAACCTTGAGTCTTTACTTCTGCTACCCGTTTTAATTCTTGTCCGCCATTAAGTACTATATCACTTAAACTTTTGTTGTTTACTACTCTTAACATATATTTTCAAGGGCCTTCTGGCCCAATGCTTCAGCTTACACGTTAACAATCATATTGGATACTTTTTGTGACATTAATTTGTGACTTTATGATGAGAGTGCGGTTAGAAATTCTTTCATTGCCAGCATGAATGCGACTTCTGTTCGTATCAGTGATTCTCAATTGCACTTCAATTGTTCTGTGGTTTGACTGTTTACATGCATTCTGTGATCATTTGAACAACAGCCAATAAGTTCTCATTAGAGAAAGGTGAAATAAAGTGTTATGCTGAATGTATCCATTCCACTGCATTACATTCAAATATGTTCTATGTACAAAACATTCAAATGTTTGGATGATGAATGTCAAAACACCATCACAATCCACAAGTTTAAATTGTTAGTATTACTCTATAACAATATGAAGAAAAAGAGAGAGAGAGTTTGAAACGGCTGTGTGTTTATGTTTAAAATGGGATTGATGAGAAAAGTTTCAATTCTATGCCATTGAAAGGTCCGCAAAGAATCAGATTGTTTCTATGATTGGCCACCTATAGAAAATTTCTCACCAATGAACAATGGCGTCACAAGAGTCTCTCACAAAATGCTTTTTGTCCTCAACAATAAGTTGATTCTGAAACTGTCCTCCATGTTCAAAGAGAGTGTGATTATGCCAAGTCTATTTGGATTTCTAGTGGAGCTCCTCAGGTAAAAAACAACTTCTTTTTTTTTAAAATCATCTAGATTGGTTATGGTCAAACCTTCAGAGTAATCTGATATGAACTTCAGAAGTTGTATCTTGGAGTGTATGTTTTGGTACTTATTGTTGGTCTTTGTGATCCTCGAAAATAAGCTCCTCTTTTAAAAGGGTTTTACATATCGTAACAAACCTCTAAAGGTGATTTTCGCTTATACTAGTCAAATTATAGCTAGTATGGGCATGATGACGTTCTTAGGTATACCAAAATGTTTGAAACATAAGGCTCTTATAGGTTGGCTTAAACCACCACTTGGTTGGATCAAACTTAACACTGACGAAGCCTTGTGTGGTTCAGCTGGCACTGTTATAGCAGAGGGAATTCTTTGAGATGATGCAAATATTTGGCTTCATGGGTTCTTTTGTTATATTGGGGTTTGTTCTATTTTGTGTGCTGAACTTTGAGGCATCTTGGTCGATCTAGAAATGACGTGGAATTTGGGCCACAAATAAGTCCTTTTAGAAACTAACTTCATGGTGGTAGTTCAGTTTTTACATTCTACTGAAGGTCATCAGGGGACCTATAGTCATCTTGTTATCACTATATGCAAAATGCTCCAAAAACCTTTGGTGGTTTGAGTAGCTTACACCTATAGGGAGGCGTATCCCATAGTTGATTGGCTCGTTAATCATGGCTACTCCCTTACTTCAAGTATTTCTTATTTTTATAATGTCTCAATGGGTTGTATTAGCTTTCTTTTAGAAGACATAAGTGGAGTTGTAACTCCTAAGCTCCTCATTTTGAGACCATTTCCAACAAAAAGGATAGGTTAGTAAGCAGAAAGAAGAAATTTTTTGCACGAATGAACTGTTAGTTTTTCTTTTTATAAAAATTATTATTTTTTTATTATTGAAATTTGCTTCATTATTAAGGATTTTCCATATCTGTGTATTAAGTCAATCTTTTATGGTTTTAGCTGGAACTAAGGGTCCTAAAGTTCACCAACCTGGCGCTTTAAGCCGGGCAGCATTGCTTCCATCATCGAAAAAGGTTTAAAATGCAAGTTCTTAATGATTTGAATGTTTACCTAAATAGGAGAAAAGATCGATGTTTATAATGGTAAGCGTGACCAACGTTGTTCAATTATAAATTTGTGTTATTTTGTTTGTTTTTTTATGTTTTTATTGGTATTTTTCTACATTATGGTGGGGTTTTTTTTATATGTATTTTGTTGATAATAGAGGAATGAGACCAAGAGACATTGGAGAAGGTGGTGGAGTCGAAGGGAAAAGATTATCAACAGAATAAACCTACTAATATTGTAAGTTTACTACATGTAAAAGTGGAAAATTGTTTCATGAATGAGTGATCAGTAGTCAACTTCTCATTCCTATGTGTAGTTTATAGCATAGTCATGAACTTCATATTTGATGGTTGAAGTTCTTTTCCCTTTATTTTGAGCATGCTTGATGAGAACCAATTTTAGACTTGAGAAATGTGATTATTTCAATCTAAGATACCATTGGTAAAAGATGAATTGAGAATTTGGGTGCTAAAGAAGACAGGTAAGTGGCTCACACCCTATTGATTTTCCTATTAAATGTCATTTGTATTTCATGGAAATCTTATAAATGCAACATCCAGTATGCTATAACAAGTATTAATTATCTTACCTTCTGCCTCTTTAATAGGTCTTTTAAGGTCTACATCTGTCACAAAATGTAAGCTGTAAATTATCATTGAAGTAAAATAGATGTTAACCATGATGTATGCAAATATGCTTATCCATTGCACTTTTCTCTGTTTACATTATATACTCTTTGGCAATGAAAGTTAGAGCTGCAAAAAAAGGCTCAACAAAGTTGATTATAATTGAAGATAGAGGTTGCACAGAAGAAACATACAAAGATACCAATAAGAAGGGGAAAAAAATATAAAATTTCCTATTAAATTCTAAATTTTATCTTCGTTAAAAAAAAAAAAAAACTAAATGTGCAAAAGATGATTAAATTTGGCAAATCATAGAATAGCAAACACTTTATGGTTCATTATCTTTTCTAGCTTATCTCTCTAATGGCTTTACTTATTTATAAGGTTGATCATGTGTTTTATTAAGTATTAGTATGAAAAAGCTTGCTTCTTGCTTTGTTGTGTAAATAAAGAAAATCTATAGTTACGTTTTCTTTGCTAACACTATGATTGCTTATGATGAAAGAATTGATGAATATAAGATCGAATTGTTATTTTGTATTGCTTTTTCTTAAAAAAAAAAAAAGAATTGATCGTTTGTAAATATCGATTCATTTATAAGGACTTTTTATGCAGGATTATGACCATCGTTTTAGAGTGGCAGATCATTTAAATTTCAAAGAATTTTTCTTGACAACTAGGCTAGAGCTGTTTCCTTTAGTAGGAGATGTTAAGAGTTCTTTCTGGTTGTATATATCTAGAATTTCAAAGGTAGTAGGTGTTGATGGAAGCTTGGAAGCTTAGGATTGTGGCATAAAAACTTAATTGAATTGTTTTTTCTTTGAAGGAACTCTTGCATGTTGAGTTCAGATTCCTATTATTTTAGGTAGTGAGTGTAGTTTGCTTGCTTTATCTACAGTATTATGTGAATGAAATGATGAAAGCATGCCAGTATGACTGTTCAAAATAAATTATTAAAAAGAGATTGGTTGTGACTTCAAAAGCTGGTAAATGGAAGGAAACTCATTATAGAAAATATAAGATTGTATTTTGTGTATATACAATATAGGTTGATTGGTTAACTTCTTGCTGCACGTATTGGGACTAAAAAAGATCCAGCTGAATCCATCAATCTCAATAAAGAAGTTGAGGGTTCTTGCACTAATAGAAGTGAAAACTACTCTGAAATCAAGTTTGGATATCTCAAGGGCACTAGTATCGATAGCCCTTTATCTAATCATCATCCAACAAAGAGACCTCTTTTTTAGTCATTAACTAAAGATCGTTTAAGAGGAATAATAAATTAACAGATTTGTATCTGACTTACATATATTGTCCTTTCGAATATTAAATAAGATGTATACTTTGCAAGGTTGAATACTGGGATTGAAATTGTATTTGCTTGTAACTTATTGGAGTGCTAGCATGGGCTAGGAAATAAAAAAGAGATCTTCTCTTCCTTGCATATATTTCTATTTATGCTTTTCTTTTCTTCATTTGAAATCAAGTATCTTTGTACAAAAAAGATAGAGAAAAAAGGTAATGCTTGAAATAATATTTTAGAAAAATCACCTAATAATTCAAATACATATTTTCATACTAATATTATTGATTAATCTATAAATAAATATATGTAAATTAAAACATATTTTTAAAAAATTAAAAAAAATTATTAGTTTTTATTCAAGTTTTTATATTGATTGTTGCTTTATTTCTTTGACACAATCTTATGAAAAAAATATTAGAATATTTAAAAAGAAATTATTAAATTTTTTATTTACATTATTATAGATTTTAATTTAAAAATGAATGCATAATGAATATTAATCATTTTTTTTAACAACAAAGTTTATGAAAAACATCAAGAAGAATAAATAAAATATATAATTTTAAAGAAAAACAAGGAAATTAGATCAATTTTTTTAATTTAATATATTTTAGTTGATCTATCTTATAATACATGTTATTCGAGTTAAAATAAATATCTTAATCGACTCGTTGCGAAGCGCGGGTCACAAATTAATAGGATACTATATTCTAATTTCATAATGGATCTCATGTTTTTATTATGTTAAGAGTGAAATACAACTTCTAACACTCTTAATAATTTTTCTAATATACGAAAACGAAATAAAACTTTTAAATTACCTAATAATTTCTCCAATAAAAGAGTGAAAAGGAGAATTTGGTGGGTGGCAATTGGATTTTAGCCCGTGCACCGACAGGAACTTTTTCAGAGCACGCAAGTCTACATGGCAGGAGTAATTTTCATGCTCCTCCATTTTCGTAGACATCGTGATTTATGATTATATATAGTAGAGACTGCGCGTGCAGCAGATTTAGAGAAGTTTGCCCCCCTCCCATCCCACTTCAGTACCCCAGTATCCTCCTATATATATATATATATCCACTCAACCTCACAAATTATTATTATTCTTTTAGCTAGGTAGATCTCTCGTCATCTCTCGTGTACTTTACATGTCTTGAGAGTTCTTGTCATCTCCCTCCCATGCATCAACTCACATGACATGTGGAAAGTTGGAATATTCTGCTCTTTTTGTTTTTGATAATTAGTCTTCGTACATTACATCACTAATAAATGATTTTGCTACATCTTATCTCTAAGGTTGTGATTGCATCATCATTCATCGAAGCACAATGGTTTTATTTTAATCTTGATAGATAAAACAAAAAGCTTCATTACATTCAGGTGTGTCCCTTTTAGAAATGCATGCTCTGTCCACTTGAAATCCCTCAAACAAATACTGCTAGACTTTTCTTGTTTGACATTCAGATGGAACAGGAAAAGAAAAAAAGAGCGAAGCTTAGGTTTTTGGAATTCAATTTGAAAGACACGGGAGACATGCTTGTGTATTGATCTAGTCCTACGTATCTTGCCTAAGTTAATATGATCTATTTTTACCTAAGTTCGAAGCCAAATATTAGTGGATGCTTGAGCTCTAGCATTGGCCATATGGATGACATGAAATTTTGAACAAAAAAAAGTTGAAGAACTAAACTTTCATATATTATATTTGAGGAGAAGATCAAAATACAACCCTCCACAATCATCACATAATTAATTAGAGCTACCATGAGACCATATTCATGGTTTCTCTTTCAATTATATAAGTACATATATAATATAGAAATCAGTTTACATATCTAGCAGCTCAACAATAATCCATGTCATTATTCAAGATGGATCCAGGAATGCCCTCCATCAAGCAAGAAACTGGAGGAATAGCTAGAGTTTGCAAACCGCCATATGCATTCCAACAATATGGATCCATTACTAAATCTCCTTCAGCAGGAAGAAGCTCTACATCTGATAGTGTTAAGTTGGTACATGGGACTGAATCACTACAGGCGAAATGCATTGGTGGTCTTCGAATATTGTAAGTTCCCTTTATGTTTTCGTAGAGAATGTCCGATACTGAAACAGCAGATGTTTGGTTGGTGCACCCCTTGGTGAGGCAATAGAATTGGTCAATTATTATCGGATTCTTGACATTGTCCATGTGAATATTACTGAATGTTATTCCTGATACTGCTCCTGATCCACCTTGCCATGTCTTAATCCTAACTCCATTATCCGAGACTCTAATCACCGAGTCCCTGACTTTGACATTGGAAACACAGGCTCGTGAATTGTGATTTCCTAGACTCCCAATGCTGATTTTAATACAATCATAGGGAAATTTGTAAAAAGATTAGCTTAGAAATTAAGTCCAAGAAAAAAGGCGACTGAAAAAGAAAATTCTAAGATTGGAATCCTATATATGGAAAACCAGTAACATTCCGTACGTACCTGATTCCATGACTCGGACCACATGTCATGTTCCTTATGTCCACATCATAACAACCTGACCCGATTGATACACAATCATCGCCTATCAACATGTAAATACCGAACAACTTGATGTCAGTGAACTTGTGATGGAAGTTTTAAAGGAGAATGAGAAAGATGTTTATGTCTTGCACTAACCATTAGAGATCACTGAATTATATATTCCAACACCATTGGTGTTCTCTATGTGAATTCCATCAGTGTTCGGACTTAAGGCAGGAGCAGTAATGTGAATGGATTCTACATGAACATTCTTGCAGTTGTCAAATCTGAAGTTGAACTGCGGGCTATTCTTGATTTTAAGTCCTCGCACGGTTAAATTTGAGCCCAGGAAGAACCTTATGGCCTGCATCAGAAATGTTATGTTAAACTGAATCGATTCAAAATGTAAAATTTGCACCGAGCATGAAAATAGAAGATGATGTATGTGTAGATGGCTTACGATTGGACTATCACATGGTCCAGGCATCGTTGTTCCATTTATTCCCTGTGCCATAAATGTAAAGGAACAGTAATACAAGTCAAACCCAATTTTTTTCAGGTTGCAATAAAGAATAATTTCAGCAATACCTTGTGGGGTTTACAAGGAAGATTCCACCATTTCTCTCCTCTGCCATCTATTACACCACCTCCTAGAAGTGACATTTCATTGATTCGGTAAAATACCAGCCACTGACGCCTGCTGTTCTTCTGGGGCCAAGAGTCAGGTCCATCAGGTGGCATAAGTGTCCCATCAACCTTCTCATCGAACAGAACGTAACCAATTACCAGAATTAGTAAGTCCTTTCAACCCTTGTACAAAGAACTACCTGACAGGACTGAAAATATATTACCTGAAATACTAAGCCACCTTGACAAGGACCAGTGAAAATTGTTGATTGGATCATGAATTCGAAACCATAAGGAACAAGGATGACAGCAGAATCAACTTGGTTGCAGGCTGCATCCCATGCTATCTTGAACGCGTCCGTATCATCTGTTATTCCATCACCAATTGCCCCAAAATTGCGTACATCAAAAACTCCAGTAGAGTTGAAGCCACTACCATCAGGTGGATTAGCGGACTCAGGAGGAGGAGTGGCAGGTTCAGGTGGAGGAGTGGGAGGTTCTGAAATTGTGGATGATTTATGAGGATGACTCTGCTTGTGGTGTTTTGCGTGGTAATGCCACCTAGCTTGGGTGCAAAGGAAGAAGCAAATGAAAGAAATGCCAAATACTAGTAACGAGACACGAGAATACTCCATTTTAAGCTCAACTTGGTTGAAGTCTTAAATAGGGGGCAACAAAAAAGAATTCTGTTCTAGAGAGAGTCTTTCCACATGCTGGAACTCAAAAACACCCTGAATCAATTGCTTTTGCGCTATGAATTATCAGAAACTAGATCAAAAGACTACCTGACAATCAATGCATGAAAGTTATGGGAAGTCGAAACAAGCAAGTGGCTTGTACAAGTGACCACTGTGAGCACTAGAGCAACTTGCCAAAGATTCACTAAGTTTGGCTTTGGAATGTATGCAGAATCAGAAAGTCCTGATTCCATTTTTATAGTAAGAGTGGATGGTGGGACGGAGTTTGTGAAAAATTTGCACCTTACCCTTTTGTTTAATGGTTTTGGTGGCGGGAACCGACCGAATTCCTTATAGGCATTGCCTTTTTTTGTGCGAATGTGGAGTCTGCAGATGACTGTTCTGGAAAAAGGTAAAAGGAATAACAAGAGTCGATAAGCCCCCCATGTTCCTCCCATAACTTCCACTTTCATCGGCCCCCAATTTAGTTACTTCAACACCGTCACATATTATAATAGGCATAAGTTCGACACCATGCCTATTTGAGAGGATCGAAATTGATTTTGTGACTGGCCCTGAAATTAGTAAAATCTCTATCTAGATTTCAGCATTGTTTAAAAACAAGCTGTATAACGAATGTAGCTCCATTTGAAAACACATATGGTTTGGAGCTTATGTAAAGTTCAACCCAGCTCAATAGCCACATGCACTTATATATGGAAGCAGATAAGTTCAATTTGGCTTCCCTTGATGATGGCAAAACCCTTGTTTATGGGCAATCCGATTAAAATGAATAACTAACAATGCATATTCATGACAAGGCCGTTGAGCTGTATATGCATGGTATTGTGAATATGATTACCCCATATTTATGTCTTACTAATTATACATTGAAACATGGCAGATGCTAGTCGGTTGTCCAATTTTTTCTTTTTTATCACATAGCGTAGTATCTTCATGGGAAGAAATTTTATCTCCGTAGGAAAAATAGCCTGTCATGTAAGCAATGAAATTGATGGGAAAAAGAACTACTAATATAGTTAAGCATCATTGCTCATTATGTAACTATCAGGTTTTGATAGAAATAGCTTAACATCAGAGAGCGGTCTCTTGTAATAAGAAGTCATGGGTTCAAATCCCTACAGATTTGTTTTATTAAGAGCCATGGTGTGTGAGTTAAAAATAAATAAATAAAAAAGATACAAATAGCTTAATAACTTACTGTCACTTCAACAGCATTTGTATGATTCGACAAATACAGAAAGGCAAAGATCCACTTTTTGGAAGTGGTCCTCTGTAAGAACTGGAGGATGAATGCCTGCCTAAAATTTAGTTATCTTTCCTTGTAGTGGAAACTTCACTTAGAGCTCTGGTAAGGTTTTTGAGGCTTATTTTATAACCGACCAAATCAATGCAACCATGGCTCCTTTCGGTGACATATAGCCCATGATGTTCAATCTGATGTTCCAATGCTGCAAATGGGATCTGATTGCTTTCACTAGAAGATTGGATGCCACTTGAGGGGTTTCCAGTCTTCTTAGAAAAGATTTCAAGACAATGCATATGTAGTGCACGTTACTTGTAGCCAAGAACAATTTTTTCAAAAGCATTTCTGCTACTAATATGATTTTAGTATCCTGCGAAATAACATTTTCTGTTAAGTTAGTCAAAGCAGAGAAGAACAGAACATTAATTCAATTTCAAAGTCATAATCATTGACATGTCCGTAAGCGAATTAAACTTGTTCGGTGCTCAAATACAGGGTTCCTGCCTCTAGAAATCAAATTTTTAATGCGAAAATTTGCTTGGATCACCTTTTTCCGCAGTTCACTCAGGTTCCTATTATTTTAACACTAAATGCAGCATGGAATGTGTCTTCGATTGAATAATTTTTATTTTAAAAACTCCAAGTTGTGTGTGTGACTGAAACTTGCTTAAATTAAAAAGAACCATCCGTAAAAATAAAAGAATCTTCTAATGATCCATTATATCTTATTCAGTGTTGCCACCATACCTTCTGATTCTGCCCTTAGCAGAACTTTCAATCAACAGAATGTTTTGTGCAACAGAATCCAAAACATTTCGATTTATAAGCCATCAACGACCTTCTTAATGCATCTCCTGTTCAAAAACCCTACTGCCTGGATTCCTGATTCACATCTATAAGACCAACTCAGCACGATCTATCAAAAGATAACTCATTCATCTTGTGCCTGGATAGATGATTACTAAAGCTTCCTGAAGGCACAAGTAGACAAGGAATGGCTGAGTCAGAATACACAATACAGAGAGTAAAATACTACATCTCCACTGTTATATTTTGGGATTATTTAATGATTTCTCAAACCAATGAGCCTGATATGGAAAAGGGGCCAACATATAAAGTTCCTTTTTTCACAAAATCCATATCGATGTCCCATCATTCTCTATGAGCAGAATGGCTAAGGCGGTTCCCATCATAACTTCCAGTCTACGCATGACTAAAAAGCGCTGTGACTAGGAACAAAAGCAGGCCTTTGATGCTGCTTGCCTTAGAATTTGGGATCCAACAAATCCCCTGCCTAACATGCCGACTAAGTCTAATTTTCAACCACACATATACAGTAATCATTTGATTTTCACTTTCTCAACTAAAATGCCAACTACTCTATTTAAGTCTTAACCCACCAACCTTCCTTTTGAATTCATAGAATCAATACTGTACAAAGCACCATTGTTCTATTTGACATTCCCGAATCGTGTATGATAGGTCAAGCAGAAAATTCAGGGATCGTGTAAAATACAAAGAATACTAAGGAAATAAATAAAAATCTTCCTTCAATGTAATCCTCATCATAAGGGAACGAATTGTGGTCAAGAAAGTTACAAAATCGATAAATTGTTAAATATGCAATTGCAATTTGTCTTTCATTTAAATTAAGGGTCAGTAATGCCACGGAGGTCTTAACAACATACTAAGCAGAACCATCTTTACCTGCTCTTTACACAAAGATAGAAGATGAACATGACCTAAAAAAATATATAAAAAAGGAATAAATGAACTGGGGATGCATAACAAATAACACAACTTGAATAGGATTCACTTTAAACAGACCACTAGCTACTTCTCTACAGCGGAGCGCATTTTTCTGCAAGGAGCAGACAGCCAGAAACAACGAAGGACTGCATCAAAACCCAAGGAAGGCACACTGCTTTCTTGCATGCTCTGGTATCAGCTTGACAAGCATCTCAACTGGAATTCCTTTCAGCTCTGACCAGAGTAGAGGAACATCAACAACAATCATTAACAGGAACTTCAATGGAATAATGAATGAACATTGAGAGTGGTCATACCATGAGGCTTAAAATTGAACAGTGGTGGAAGGAAGCGTCCATTTGGTAAACGGGTGTTGGGATCACGTAGCTCATCGAAGAAAGGATGGATCAAAGCTTCCAGCTGCATTGCAAAATAAATTATAAGAATAAATAAATAAAACCAAAAGCATTACCAACAAAACAAGGCCGCCGCAAAACAAAAGCATACAGTTAAAACCTAAATAGGCTCGTTCATTCCATCAAGCTACATCACAAATTCAACCACAAGTCTAGAAGGTAAGTGCATAACTGGGGTTCTATATGTCCCTAATATTTCTGACGGAAAAGTAGCACATTTAAAGTGAGATTCCTTGGGAATCAAAAAGGACAAATCAGAAGTCAGATCTGATTCATGGCTTAAACAGTACAACCGACAAATAGATGCATTAAGTGCCTGGAATGACTTAAAACTACAAAGAGTCACAGGCCTGAACACACATGGAGAGACTATCTTTTGTACGAGGACCCATCACATTCATGAACAAGAAAATACAGTAGGGTGGGTTATTGGGAGAAGAAAAGATCTTCAGAGAATAACTTTTCAATTGATCTAGCTGGAATTTTATACTCACAGCTGTGCTTCGAAGGTTTGGAGAGTATTGTAATAATCTTGAGACAAGGTCAACAGCTTCAGGAGGCATGCGCTTGTGGAATATCTGTCAACATAAGTAGGCAAATAGATGAATAATTCATGTTATTAGTACATCCTTATTTTTTAGAGACAAGGCAGATGCAATATTTGCTGGTACCTTGTGCCATGGGTGAGCTTTAATTTGAGGAAATTTGAACTCAGTGTAATTAGGATTCATGCACTTAATTTCCTCCCTTGTTGGGGTACCCAGGACCTGCGTGAGGATCACATAAATTGTAAGAAAGAAAAGAGCCTACAACACAGGCAATAAGAACTTGAAATATCCAATCTCAGCAACATAACAAGAAATGCTCCCTCTAACTTTATTATAAATGCAGCAATAAATCTGTATTGAAACTTCACCGATCGTTTAGGATGGCCATTGTCATAAAAAAAGGCATAAAGGATTAGGAATTGTAACGAGCATCCCACCATTCATGACATGTATAATCAGATGACGAGCTGAAAATGGATTTTCTTTGTATACAGACCAATCTAGCAATTTTATGCGAGTAGTATCAGAAACAATCATTACCTTTATAATTTCAACAAGTTGGTCTACTCCGCTCTCACCCGGAAAGAGAGGCTGTCATCAACAGAAATATTTGTGTCACTTGCATAATTTACTAACCCCAAAGAAATACAGGAAAACAACCTTGTAAAACAAGAAGCTACCTACCTGTCCAAGCAGTAATTCAGCCAGAACACATCCTGCAGACCAGATGTCAATAGCAGTTGTGTACTCAGTTGCACCAAAAATAAGTTCGGGTGCTCGATAGTACCTAGAGCATATGTAAGATATGTTTGGTTCTCCTTTAACCTGTCATAAGTAACCAAAAATAGAATAAGATGCCCCTATATGTATTGTAACTCAAAAATATATTAATAATTCCACAATAGAAAAATACAAACCAAAACTTTTGCACTTCCAAAGTCACATAGCTTCACTTGGTGTGTATGTGGGTTCACCTATTACAGATAACAACAGCAGATTGTCAATTAGAGAAAATAATAATTCAAATAAATAATAAAAAGACGACAAAATAGGGTTGATGCATCACAAGAATACTAAAATGCCATCTTGAAAGCGCATTTATTAGCTTGATGCACAAATGTTCAACATTGCAGGTGCTTCTACAAATAAAACAAAAACCAAGTACCCTTGTCAACGTACCAATAAATTCTGGGGCTTTATGTCTCTATGGCACACTCCAATACTATTGTGAATGTAAGCAAGAGCTCTACAAATCTGTCCATGAGTAAGAAAAGAAAAGGTCCCATAAGAGCCATAAGTTAATAAACCGTGCCTGTTAAACCACATATCACATATCTAGCATATAACAAACACATCTCAAATAGGAAAGAAAGCACATATACAATTCATACCTGATAAGAATAAAGTTTGACATATATTAATGGCATCCTTTGACTCATCTTAGTGTAGTGTTTGATCACTCGGTGGATGGTCTCAGGGACATACTCAAGTACCAGGTTAAGATAGAGTTCATCTTTTTCAGTTGTTGAGAAGAAACAGTGTTTCAGAGACACTACATTAGGGTGGTCTAGAAGACGCATGGTTTGAAGCTCCCTGTTCTTATACCTTTTATCTTGCAGAACCTTTTTAATAGCAACAGTTTCACCAGTCTCTAAACATTTAGCCTGAATACCCAAACCACGGAAGAGAAGAAATTTTAGTGCCTCATCCAAATTTAAATCCAAACAGTACTATAAGAATCAGACAATTAAAGATATGCAAAACAGCAATATATCAAGATAACAACTTACCTGGAACACTACTCCAAAAGATCCATGCCCGACAACACGCTCAGCCATATAGCTTATTGTCTGCATTCATCAGAGAGCAAATTGAATCATCACAAAAATAAAAACAGCATCAGAATCTATTTGACCAAGAGGCTAACATTTAAAGATTATAACCTGCTTTGGCTGGCCATTTTTCCCACCGATAGTTGTGACTATTATATGACCTGTCTCGGTCCCATTACCATCAACCACAGTTGCTTCCATTTCCTGCAAAACAGTGGACAATTTCCTTCCAAGTAAATAATACTGAAACCATGCAATCAACAACACGTGATTAGTGATGAAAATGATGATAATATCAAGTTGGAGCAGATGGCAGTTTGCATACCTTGTCATCCCTAATTTTCATGTCATTCATCTCGTCAGGTAACTTATCAACACCAGCTGTGTTTCCACTTGTATCTCGCAATCCAGAAGCAGGGACGACACTTACAGAAGCCATTTACTCAAACAAAAGAGTAATTGAAGATCTTACAAATTCACCTTGCCAACTCAATAAAACTTCAGCAACTTACCTGTGTTTAAGACTTACCAAGATTAGTTGTTTCATGTAAAAGAAAAGGAGCACACCGTCAATACATAAGACAAGGATGGTTCCCTTTTGATCTAAAATGCAGTTACCAAGCTGATATAAGATGATAAAAACTAAATGCACAAGAAGCCACAGATGCAAACTGCCAGCATTACAGAACGTAGACATGCACTCTACATAAATTTATACAATGCATCGTTACTAAGAACTTAGTTAAGATGAAGCATTGATTAATAAAATGCCATAAAAGATCACTTTGTATTAACAAAAATATTTGTGCAACCAAATCATCTGCTTCTTACAGACCCTGAACAGTCAAACAGATAGATTTGAAGATCAATTAAACTTGGCATAACAGATGCTGTTAAAGGTTAAGAAGTTGATGAACTTAACATACAAATTGATAGCCAAACTCCACTGTACACACAGTCGCAAGCTAGGATCCTATCAGCACTAAAGCAAACGGTTAAACACTAACTTCATGCAGTATTCAGATACTGAAATGGGCAAGCTAAGGTAAAAGATGTTTAAAGGGGCAAGGTAAGGTAAACGATGTTTAATGTCTTTCACAATACATATTAATCATTAGTTTAAAACAAGTTTGACGTGGATTAACTACATCCTTAGTTTAGTAAGTTCTTTCTCTTATCTCAATAAACCCCTACCAACAAATGGCATAATATGGCAAAAAAAGTTTCACTGAGATGGGTTTTTGTCCGAGCAGCCAAAACTGAAGTTTGCTTGACCGAGATGAGATTTATTAACTTCTAATTCTTGACCTCAAACAAAAAATGTTAGTTTGTTTTTGAAAATCCAATTAGTACCGACATTAGAAAACGAAAAAAGAAAAAACCCCATTAAAACGCATTTTGAGTAGAGAGAGGCAGCAAAGGCTAAAAAAAAAAAGTTGAAAGGACGATGAAGATCCATAAGACTCACAAATTTTATGTAATTATCACAACACCAAAAAAAGAGCATAAATAGTAGTGGTAAAAGAAATGAAAACCAAAAAAGCAAAGATCTTTACTGATGCACACACAGATCAAACAAAAGCAAAGCATAACAACGAAACTAACCTGATCCAGAAACTAAAAACGCAAAGATTTAACTTCAAAAAAATAAAAAGAACCCACTTGAAAAAATCCATCAAAAATAAAAATCAGCGTAAAGAAAAAAGAGAAACTTACTTAAGGCACACAGATCAGGTTAAGAAATTGAGGAAATGAGGGAATGGTATTGCAGGAAGAGGCAAATTCATGACCGGATTTCCAACAAATTAGAAAGCTTTAAAGAATCGATTGTTGTTCTTGAGAGAGAGGGAGCGGGTTAGGACAAAGTAGTTTGATGTAGCTTTCTTTGGTTAAGATTTTGGAATAGTTTTTTTTTTAACCAAGTACTATAAGACTACTCTATATTTTGTTCAACACAGATCGATAGAGAGAGAAGACAGTCAACAGCCCAAACATTTATGTGTTGTTCTTTGTATTTTTCACTTTCCTTCTTTTTGACCGTTCAACCATGGCTGGCCCCCACTTTTCCACTTTCAAACTTTTCCTGTCCCCTCTCTTTGAATGGATCAATTTAAAAAAAAGAAGAACCAGAAATTTTTTTTTTTTTTAAGTCTACAACCAATCAATCCTTGCCACAGGCAAAGTAGAAATTAAAATAGATTCTCCAATCACCGGTCAAAACCAAGATTTTCCTTAATAATACTATAAGTTCTGTAGCTTTGTGAGACGTACGGTTGTGGATTCTGTAAAATATTTGCTTGATGACTTGGACCAACTCCAGCCGGTTGGACGGTTGGCCTATCTCCGATTTTGTTATAATATCGTCCCAAATTATTGCTACTCTCTAGCAATCAATGAATTCATGACGCCTTTCTTGTGATAAGATAAAATTGTGATCTATTAATTAGTTGAAGCTGTGATTTTTTTATAGAATTACTAAATTAAGCAATTAATCTTCCTTCAAAATTTTATTTCACTGTAATTAAATGCAAGATATCAATTCAAAACAATCTAATTACAAATAGAAATGTATTTAAAAAAAAAATAGTAACATGTAAACAAAAAGCACATGAGTGAATGATACGACCAGTATTTTGAAAAATGGCATTCTTAGAAACCATCAGAGAATTTTTTTTTTTTTTTTTTTAAACAGGGACAATACCTGTTAACATGAAAGAAACAAAAAAGCTTGTCTTTGATTTATGATATCAGTTTTTTTTTAAGGAATTTTCATATTCGATGTTTATTACGTTCTTTGTTTTGTGTATTAGGTTTATAGATTTCTATTCATTGGTGTGGAGAAAACATAAAAAATATTTGTCTAGTTATTTCATAAAACTATATACAAACTGGGATCAACAATCAAGGAGATGAGATAGTACCGTCTTAAAAAAAACAAAAAAAAAAAAAGAATTATACCAAACCTGTTGACAATCTTGGAATCCGTTCAATTATTCACAAGGATCATCATTCATCCCATTAACAGCTAACTCCATGAGTTTTTGTCATGCGGAAATATGAAATTACTGAATCAGACAAGGGTATAAAATCCTCCACGTAATCTTAGGATTCCAAATCTCCAATCTCCACTCACCCAGTGGCTTTTCTTTTCTTTTTCTTTCCCTTTTCAGACTCTGCATACAAGTGAGGCTCTTTTCTTAAACACCCACCGAGTTTGCTTGATTCCTTTGGGCCTAAAGTCATCTACTTGGCCCTTACCATCCAACTTAGCGTTTAACATTAATAAATTAGTTTTAAAAAATATTTTCTAAATTGTTGATGAAATTTGATTTACAATCGTAGAGATAGATAAAATCATTCCTCTCGTTCTAGAGATTTGTTTCTAATTCATGATTATCATGCATTGTTGATGTTATGGTGTGAAAAATGAAATATTCATAGAGACTAAATTTTCGTTTTGATAGTATATTGATGATAACAAAAATTTTACTCATTTATGATTGAAAATTCTTGTCCTTGCCCTGAATTTGTTTTCTCATACTCTCCATCCTGCTGGTGTTATTTGTTTGTGAATATATATGCAGAATGTAGTTTCTCGGCATTGAGCTAATCACAATAGTTTTTTTTTTTTTTTCTTTTTAGATATTTTTTCACCTAGAGCTGATTCATCCCCCCTCCGCCTACTTCCTCCTCTTCACCTGATAAACCTTTCGTGCTCTCTATGTTTACCTTGCGCTCTCTTCCTTTAGAAAGTGTCCTCAGAGGTAACCCTTTTTTTCCCAAATTTAATTATCAATCATTTTTAGAAGAAAAAAATAAACTTTCCTTTCATTATCATAAGATCTTTTATGAGGTTTAAATTGTGAAGATTAGATCAAATTTTAGTTCAAATTCAATGGCATTGTTTGTTTGTTTGTTTTTTTTTTATCTTCTAATATCCTAAATTCAACTATTCATATTAATCTTTTGTTATTCAATTATAAACATAAAATAGACATAACTATTCAAAGATTTTCTTAGTAAATAAGTATTCAAACTCAAAAATACTTACTTAATCTACTAAAATTTATTATATTCAACCCAATAATCTTAAACGCGTTGTTTGATTTCTATGAAACACTATGTTATAAAAACCCTTTAATTCTTTTAGTTTTTTTTTTTGTGGGGGGAATGCAGCAAGGAGTGGAGTGTAAAATTGGTACTTAGGGCAACATGTTACATCTTCTTATTTAATGGACAAACTAATAAAATACGTTATTCCATCCATTCAAGCCACGTGAAATTGGATAGATAGATATGAATAACTTCATCCTTAGCTCTTCGAAAAACTAAAAATATCGAATACACCATCAATAACAAGTTAACATCCCAAAGTAAAGAGGTTAATTGCATGAGCAGTCTTTGTACTGTGGTTATGTGATCAATCCAGTCTTCTTATTACTAATTTGATTTATTGAATCCTTATACATTGTATTTCATTTATAATCAAGATGTTCTATCCAAGACACCGTTACCAATAACTTAATGTCTCATTAGATGTGCAAAGCATGTTCGTGTTGGTTCAATTTGTCTCATTAGATGTGCTTGAAAAATGAAATTTACTTCTAAAACATTCCAAATTTTATAAATAAATAAAAAATATTTATAAAAGAATTGAAGATAAATCAACTTTTAATAATTTTGAATTTTTCACTCAATATTTTTATTCTTTGATTTTGATTAAGGAAAATAGTGTTTTGCTTTATGTTATTTTATGGGGTTGATTTTGATGCAATCTTTTAATGTTTTGATTTTTTTTTCTCGATTTCTAAAATTTTTTTATATAAAAATCTATTTTTTCAAACAATTTTTTTGGTTTTAGAAATTGAAGATCTGGTCAAAGTGAATAGTATGGATAAATATCGCAAATAAGGAGAGAGGCTGAATTAATAAAATAAATACAAAATACAAGGGAGAGAGGCAGAATCCGTAAAGTAAATAAAAAGTAAGAGGACACGATAAGTAAAACAATCATAGTACAGGGACTGCACCTGCAACCCTAGTAAAAGGGTTAGTGCTTCGAACGAAATATGAAAAAGGTGAAAGCAGATAAGGTGTGCCTGTAGACCATAGTTGAAGCCATCATTGTCCCTTTGAAAGTCAAGAAGGCTAGATTATAAAGGACCCCACCCCCGGACTTTTGAATTAATCTCTTTCACTCCTCGCCTGTAGGCTACAGTCAATAACGCGACTCTTTCTCAAAACCATTAATATGATCGTAACATTTTCTTTAAACAGCATGCAAATTTTGACGGCTTGGGGCAGGCTTGTTGAATTTTATTCTCAATCGACACAGAGAAGGAGGTAAGATGCTGCAGAATTTATATTTTCCATTTAAAAAATATTCACTCAGATTTATGTAGTTACAAATTTGAAGATAAATAGCAATAATCTCTTACG